GAAAGGGGGTCAAACACCGTATTAGTAGGCTATGGTGTTCCTAATAATCCTTTAGGTGAGTGTATATGTGTGTGGCAATACAGAAAAAGTACAACCTATTGCATTTTTAATCACTGTCCTCAAAGACTTGGCCATAGTTCTTCATGACCAGGATGGAAGAGCCATAGTTTACACCGGAAAAATACTTATAGAGTGAATTGTTATAAACATATTGACCATCTTGTTCGTGAACAATGTCACAAGGACTTGTCACTCTAATGGCACTGGCAAGTCCATTGACATAAATATTTATTTTTGCGGGACAAACTAAGGCTTTTGAGAAAGTTGCAGCCTTTTGCAGGTAATCCATCATGTGGTGCTGTCTGTATGAATTGTTTTGATAAATTCACTTACTGTTTTGTAAACTTTAAGGATGATTCGAGAAATGTACCAAAGAGACTAAGGAAAAACTGTAACAGAAATAAACATTATTATTCTGTATAAACGGTACATAAACCATCATCGAAAAAGAACCTAATGGGCCTTTAAGAAGGGCGTGGTCCGACAACGTCACGCCGCAGTCACTTCCGCGTGAAGTCGGTTCCGGTTCGTTTCGGTTCGTGCAGAATCGCGGAGAGGCCCGAGCGACCCGAAGGTGCGGCGGAGCTCCGGTTTTGTTTTCCATTTAATAACGCACACCTGCCGACGCCGCTGCAACCGATGTTATTGCAGTTGGCTGTGAATTCGTATATGCTACTTAATGCGGTTATTTGCTATTAATACCTCGTAAATAAACAAAAAAAAAACCTGCAACGTAAAACCAAAACAAAACCGGAAAGCAAATTGCGCCCCGCTTTGATTTACAAACAGCTAATAAAAAACATATATAAAGGGCGATTGGAGTGATTTATCGCGTTCTAGCAAACATTTGTTCGAGTTAATGTACATATTGTCTATTTTAATATATGAATATTATTCCATCGGTGTCCGTGTTTTTGTCCACAGCCATGTCTCCAAAACGCAGACTGATTACCGACTCTTTCAAAGTGGTGAAGAGAACGAGGACGTCCGATAAAAGAGGAAAATCCCCAGTCCCAGAGCAGGGTTTGTACTTGTAGGGTGTCTGCGTGGGTTTGTGGCGAATGGTTGCTCTGGGTGAGGATTTTATGTGAAATGGTTCAGCCTTTGTCCCCGGACACTGAATTGTCTACCTCCTTCTGTGAACATCCAGAGGCGGAGCCCGACCCCTTGACACCGCGAGAAAAGGACCTGCTCCAACTAAGGAAGTTTGACCTCGACTGGCGCTATGGACCATGCACAGGTACTGTTGAACCATTAGATTTCTCATTGTAAACCCAACCTTCGTTTCATCCTCTCATTATGGGTCTTTTTTTTCAAACTGGTTGGTTCGACTTTTAAGAAATTCGAGTTCTAATGAGTTCGAAAACTGAGGTACCACTGTATTGCATTATAGGAGAACTTGCTGTACACATCACTGTGCTGTTTTCCTGTATGTTACTGTCTGTGTAGTTTCTTTAGTCATATCCCTGGATATATCGGTACAGTGCCATGACAGAATTGAGGACCGAGATCCTTTCTTCTGTACAAAGGCTTCAAGCTTGTCCCTTTATTAAAAGAAAATGTGTTTTTCAGTCTGAGCGTTAACAGAATTAAGCATCGCTCAGGCCACTTGATGCCACAAGAGGGTGCTAAAGTCCATGCTCTGAGCATCAGCTTAGCTGGATATGCGTCACTGCACCCAGTACAGTGCCTGATGGCAGTAGATAGGCAGGGTCCCCAGCAGCACCGGGGAGGAATGAGCCAGTGAGCAAAGGTGCTCTTAGCCATACTATTGTTCAGTGGTTGCTTTGTTAGAAAATAGTGTTATAATAATATAAATGCAATATGCTAATATACAAGCATCATATAAAACACTGGATTCCAACAAGCCAGACTCAGATTGTTGAGTCTGATGTTTATATGCGCTGGTCTTGGGTGCAGTAATTCTCCTGTCATCCCCAGGGATCAGCCGTATCCAGCGTTGGGAGAGGGCTCAGCTGCATGGTCTAACCCCCCCAGCGGACGTACGGGAGCTGCTGCTGAAGGGCGATGATGATCCAGACTATTCCCACTGGTATGGAGCGCAACAACACTGACAAACACACACTGCAGCCAGATCATGTTAAAAACACCGAGCTGCTAACTGATACTGGCCACCGCCCAAGGCCTCCGAACACGCGCCAGCGGGCAGGACATGGACTCATAACCAAAAGTCTTACCTGATGGGATCTGGCACATTCTGTTAAGACAAAACGCTGTTGATCTCTGGGGGATCCCATATGGGGTCACAACCTTGCCGTCAATAGCACCACACTGAGCTAACCGCCCAAGCGCACCTTGTATATTGCGTGCAAACTGTATTTTTTTTTATTATATTTTCAATATTTTATTTGGTATCCGACACTGAAATTAAAAAATTGTTAAAGTAAAAAATCCTTTTTGAGAATTTGGGTTAGCAAGTTATGCTTCTGTTGATGAGTAAGAGTATAAAATAATGGCTTGATACCATGATAAGCTATATGCTTTTAGATTAGAATGTTTTGGTATCTTGCTTTTTTCCCTTTATCTGACCTGTTTGCTTTATCTTTCAGCCTGTGGCGGGATTACCCACTCTGAAGAAACACGGACAATAGTGCCACCTCAGGAGGCTTTAAAATGTAACATTCAACCTGTAATGCTACTTTTTATAAACTTTTTTTATTCTTGGGTATTTTCTCGTGTGTCATTTATGCACTCATAAATTATAAAAACCATGTCTTAAGTGTACCTGTCAGTGAGAATGGTGTAATCAGTACATGATAGATGCAGGAGGCGAACGTTACCTCTGTAATGAAAGAGAGCATTTTAAACTGAAAACGTAGAGATTGATCTCTAGCCTATCCATGATTAAGTTGCTTTATCTGGATGCTGAAGAGTTGCACAACTTCACCAGGGTTTGGATGGGGTGTGCATGAGGACAGATCTGTTCATCCCATAATGTGGCTGTCAGGGATGATGCTTTCATGAGTCAATAGTAACAGGTAACAAGGCCAGTGGGATTAATCTTTATCCAGTAAGTGTAAAGGAGCTCAATCTTTAAGCTATTTATGGTGTATATGCATGCTGAAATATGTAACATAGCAGACATTAACGATGCAGGCTGCCAGCGAAATGACTGGCTGCTCTTTCTGCGTAATGTAGCTGTCATCACATCGCCCTGCGCTCTCCAGTACACAGCTCAGATTCCCTCACTGACATCCAGCTTCTTTTAATTAATTAACCTATTTTACAAATTTAAAACCTAATTTTATGAATACCCGAGAGAGGCAGAAATACAGTGTGACAGAAGGAGTGTGTTGCAGATACATTACATGGCCGTAAAGATTCTCAGGAAGGAGCAGTGAGTTATATACCTGGGAACTGCAGAACATTAAAGAGTGTAATACAGTAAGTTACAGAGACTGAACACCATGATAACACAGACAGGGTTAATACAGTATAGATAATGACTGAACAATACTGTACATTAACACTGCACTGAGACACATTACAGTACAGACTTAGTGACTGAATATTACTGTACTGAGATGGTTAATACATTACAGATTTAGTAACTGAACATGTACATTAACACTACTGATGTGGTTAATAGAAAGTATACATAAAGTGACTGAACATTACAGTACATTAAGACTACGGAGACGGTTAATTCAGTGCAAATTAAGTGACTGAACACGATTTTTCATTAACATTGCACTGAGGATTAATATACAGTATACATTTAGTGATTGAACACTACTGTGCATTAACACTATTGAGACAGGGTTAATATACAGTGACTAAATACTGTATTGGGACAGAGGGTTAATGTATAGTGTACATGCAATGACAACACTACTGTACATTAACACTACTAAGAGGGTTAAAACAGTACAGATATAGTGACTTAACACTACTGAGATGGTGAATACAGTACAGTTAGTGACTGAGCACTATTGTACTGTACTGAGACAGGGTTAATATAAAGTACAGATGTAGTGACTGAACACTACATTAACAGTACTGAGATGCACTGGTGGATACAGTGCAGTATAGTTCCAATGACTAAACACTATTGTACTTTAACACTGTACTGAGAAAGATGGTCAATATAGTACAATATAAATTAAGTGATTACATTGCATGTACACTGTACAGGACCAGTTAAAAGTTGCATGACAGTTGAAAGTGCTTGAAACTGTAATTTTCTATGGTTTGAACTATAAATCTATCAATAGGTGTAGTAGTCAATGTTATGGATTAGTTTCAAATTGAAATCCTTGGCTCTAGCCTGGGTGTTTCTAAGATGCAGAGAGGCTGAATGCACGAGTGTTGTTCCCTCTGCCAACCATGAAGGGGGCAGTGTGGTGGTTCTGGGCTACTATGCTGGGGACCCTTTAGTGGATGATCTTTTCCAAATCCATGGCAATCTCAGCCAGCATGGTTTCTAGCGCATTACATCAAAGCGAGATAAGGACCCAAAGCAGAGTCACTCTCAGGAGAAGGGAAGTGAACCAAAACTCAGAGGAATGGCCCAACCTGCCTCGCCCTCCAGGCCGCGACCCCACTGGGCTGAAGAGTCAAAGCCAGGCAGCCCACCAGCCTGCTCATCTCTAGAAAGTGCTGCAGAAGAACCAGGATGCCCTGACGGCTGCTTTCAATCTCAGATCCTGCTACGCAGCTCCTTGTGTCTTCCACACTGTAGTGTTTTTTTTATTTGAAGAATTTACAGAAAAACATATGATACAAACCATTATGAGAAAACCTAGTTTCCAGCAAGCATGCGTACACTACTGACTGGCTCTGTATGTGACATACGTATGGCAGAGAGATAGTTAATAGCTGGGGGTGTACAATTTAAATTAGACCCAGATTTAATGGGATAATTATGGATTTTTAAACTGGGTCGAATCTAGCATATCAAGTCCCTCTGAAACTGGAGTGAGAAAAATCCACCAGCCCCCATCGCAGTCTTCAAGAGCACAGTAGGACATTTTGAGCTTGCCTGTCACATTCCACTTGTGAACATAATCTTTCCCACAGTTTTTCTGTGATGGAATTGTCGGCTGTCTGTCATGTGGTGTGCATTTTTTTAAAGGCTTGTTTTATTTAAATGATATGTGTCATCGTGACATAATATTGAGCCTAAATCTCGCGGGAGCTGTGTGTTGTGTGCCACAAATTACACGCACAAAAATACCGTTTGCTGAGATGGAATTGCGCCACTAGCTACCTCTGAATTTCTCTGTGCTCTTCAGCTCACTTAGCCTATCCTCCGGTTTTAGGTGACGCCTTCTTAAACATGAAAAAATCTCTGCATTTCGCTTGGCTCACAATATATCGAGCTTTTGGATGTTTCTTCTACATTGGAATTGGTCAAATGAAATGTCAATCTATTGATATTTCATATGGTTTGCTGAAATCTATGTCTATCCGCTGAATAAAGAGCGCCGCACAGCCCGCCGATTGGCCAGCCGTAGATTAGAGCCGCCAACACAGATGGCTCCTTTCTGCAGTAGGGGGCGGGACTCCTGTCAAATATGTCGTTTATTGGCAAATTCACTCGCTAAATGAAGGAACAGGCTTCTCATCTGCCCAATCGGGGCTCTGGCTTTCTGAGCCCGGAGTCCCACGTTAGAAATGTCATTCCGTTATCTGGCATTAAAAAAGCAACAGTAACGCAGATAGAATAGAGCTGGGGGAGAAGTGGAAGCGTATCTTGGCCGTAATAAACAACAGCGGCAGATAAAAGCCATTATCGGGCCTTCATTCCGTCTGAAGTTACCAAATGAAGCAATAACGGTGATTTTTACCTTCGTATATATCTTTCATATGACATGTAGCTTTTTGTGATAAGTAGCTAATGGTTTTCATCAATTTATTTACTATATATAGTAATTATATATATATAATTTAGAGATTGATTGCTGTTTTATTTTTTATTGAAAAGTGCTGTAGGCTACTTATTGATTAACGAATAAACGGGATACCTACTGAAGTGGTAAGTACTGTATCATCATCATCATCATCATTTTTGTTTAGATTGAAAGCTCGTTGTCGCCCCATTATTTGGCAAAGTAACCGCACAATTCGCAGTGTTCAGATGCCCAAATAGTACTTATTCCAGATTTAATGCTCAGTAATACTGTCAGCCTGTGGCTAGATATTAATTCTGATTATGTCCTAAAATCAAAAGTGAGTAATGGCATTTACGATCAAAATGCATATAAAATACCTATGAATAAAGTGGAGCCTAGGGTGATACAAATAAACCGTAATTAACTTATTAGTTAGCCTAGTAATTTTATTACGACTAGCTAGGCGGAAGGCTTGGATTCTGCGCTTTACCTCCGACTTCCATTATAAGCATTCGAGTTCAGTCGCAATTTCTCCCGCTTATAATCACGCTGTTAGGCAAACTGCACCATCATTTAGGCGCGGGTGCAGGTGAATAATTCAGTTCGCCTGAGCGGAAAGTTTGACCGCCCGTCTCTGCTAACCCTAACCCCGGCTCTGCCCTTTTCCCATCTTCCATTCACTGCGCTTCCCCTCGGCCCCGCCGCCCAGGGATGGACAATGCCCATACGAAGACAGTGGAGGAGGTACTGGGGTACTTCGGGGTGAACGAGTCCACTGGGCTGAGCAGCGAACAGCTCCGGAAGGCCCGGGAGAGATGGGGACCCAATGGTAAGTCCCGCTCTTCACGGCCGGATCCTGACGATTATAGCGGCCAGGGACTGACTGGCATCTAGGTTAGTCAGGAATATGGAGCATAGTCTCATTAAACTGTTGACATTTTGTAGAATTGCTATCTGGTGTTTAACTTTTATCCTCTCGGTTATTGACTGGCCTAGAAAAGGGGGCTCAGCATTCTTATTGCCAGACCCCAGCATCGTTTAAAATCGCATCAGTTACAATTCCCCTGCTTCACCGGCGTGTTTAGGTGGCGCTCTTTCGCACTCATTAACTTTCCATTAGTGACCTTGATTATTTAAACCATGTTTTAAACCAAGATACAAAAATGTGAAATGTTCTGTGGTTCGTTGAATATGACTGCCTGTATATATTATTGAGATTTTGATGATGATCAGATCGCATTTTAGGAGCCGTTCATGCAGAAATCCAGATCATTTTAAAGTATTCACAAAGTTTTTCTTGCATCCATAAAACCAATCACAAAAGACGACAATGCAGTCTTAATCTTAACTCTATGGCAATGACAGTAATTTATAAAAAAAATCGAATGCGACATGATATAATAAAAGAGCAGCTTGCTGACTTTACAACTTGTGTTTCTCTCTCTCTGCTAATCGAATGGCTTCTGATGGGAAGAGTTACCAGCTGAAGAAGGTGAGATGACGGCCTCCTCCTCTGTGTTCATGCTGTGTCACACAGTACATCAGCTACTGCTCCACATGCCATTTACATGGCCGTCTTCCATAACCACTGCAGTACAAAGTCACAGTGTGCATGGAACCTGTGCCAAGAAATATAATAGAGCAGTGATAGATTATTCATCCTTGTAGAGAAATTGAGCAGTTTCCCTGTGTCCATGAGACACACAGACACATGTACAGGTGTGCACAGGTTTTGGGGTCACAGTGTCCGGCCGGCCAGTGGGAGATGGTGGGATGCTATATGAGCACAGGGCAAGCATTTAGCGGGCATGTCGCTCTCACCAGAAAGCGATCT